TTGGGAGCCCTTGCGCCCATGACTTCGGTGGTAAACTACTACTGCCCCTGGAAGCTCTACTGAGCTCTCCTAGCTAGCCAGGGGAGAAGACGCATCTCCCTCGGCGATGGGACCGAAGAGCTGCAACCTCCAAGGGCGTTCCTGAGTTCGGGGAGCCTTTTGCCTCTGTTTTCAGCATTTGCAGGTAGACTGCTGCTGGCTAAGTAGGTTCTGTTCTGAACCTGTTGGCCTCTGACCTGAAACACGCCCCCCCCCCTTTCTTGCTCTTGCTGGCAGGTTGGGGCTGGATGTTTGCACCATCCTCCGCTTATCCGGGCCTCTGAAAGAGCAATATGCGAAGGTAGGTGACGACTTGAAAAAACTCCCGTTGGTGGAAAAGGCCCTTAATCCTTTTTTCTGAGTCCCCCATCGACCCGTGGGGATAAACCACATTTTCGTTCAGAAGAGACAATAAAGAAAAGCGAACAAGGAAACGGAAAGACCAGAGCGCCTCCCCTCCAGCAGCCGACACCCAGATAAGCAGGGATTAACCCCAGACAAACGGTCAGGCAGGAAACAATAGCCTAATCAAGGGACTACCAAGGAGAAAACCGCACCCCGCCCACACTGGCGGGGCAAGCGACTGCATATAAACAGGGAGCAAACCCCACATCAGCACGCATGATATGACCTAGTCGGGTCACGAAACGTCTGCAAGCGATCTGCCGAGTTCAGGGAGCCCCAAGGACTCTCCAATTTGACCCTGAGCCGCCGAGATTCTCTTCTACAGGAGTGCCCGGGGGCCAAAGTCGATCAAATCAGCGATTTTGCATGTACCCCAAAGAAATGGGACCCTTGGCGCTTTTAAAAGGGTTTTGTGCTGGGGGGGAAAACAGGAAGGCGGGCCCTGGGCGATGGGCCTCGTCTCCCTCGGAGGCCGGTGGCTGTTTTCCGTTTCAGGCGGCAGGGAGTTCCGCAGGTGAACGAGGACCTTTTGGGGTTTGGGGGACAGCTGGGTTTGGGGAAATGGAGAGGAAGGGTTGCTTTCTCGCCCGCAGGAACACGGCCTGGATTTCCAGCGGCTCCTGGACGCCAGCGATTACAAGGAGATGTATCGGCAGGACATGATCCGTTGGGGGGAAGAAAGACGCCAGGCCGACCCCGGTTTCTTTTGCCGCATCGTGGTGGAGGCCGTGACGCATCCCATCTGGGTAAGGCCGGGGCGGATGTTGGTGCCCTCTGGGCCAACTACAATGCCCATCTCAGCCCACCGCCTGGCTGGGCAGGACGGTGGGCCTGATAGTCTTAAAAACCGGGAGCAGCAGAGTGCAGAATTTGAACCCGCGTCCCCAAAGGGGTCATTTTCCCTTTTCTCCCCCCCCCACCGTGCAACGCAGGTCGTGAGTGACACCCGACGGGCCTCAGACGTGGAGTGGTTTCGAAATGTCTACGGGGATCTGGTGCGAGTGGTGCGCGTGGTCGCGACCGAGGAGACCCGGAGGAGGCGGGACTGGGTGTTCGTGGCAGGTGAGTGAGGGCGTGCAAATGTGTAGGCATGTGCCTGTGCTGATAGATACAGAGGCTGAAAAAAAGCACGAGAAAGAGAATCGAGGAAAAAGTGTCTGTAAGCAGGGCTGGGTTATTTACAGGGGGTTTAACGGTTTGAAAAAACAAGCAAGGCTCTAGTCCTCATGACCGGGTGGGGGGAAATAATGGGACTTTTTCCAACTTTTTTTTTTTAATTCTGTGGCTTTCATATATTGGGGCCTGCTGCTCCTCCCAGGGGATTTCGTAAGCACGCCCGTTTCCCACAATAGGTTGTGTTGTGGGTGTTGTGATCCGCACACCTGATTGGGGAGGGGAGGCTGGACCTGTTTTCCCAGGACTAAGCTGAGCCTGGCCAACCCGCTTACGCTCCTCCTGCCAATGTGTCAAAACTCGGAAGGAAATCTGCCAGCCCCTTTTCCGATGAACCCACTTTTATGAAAAGTTTCATTAGAAAATCGGGGGTCTCCAGCCCAGCTCTCTTCCTCCAGCGTCTGCCAATGTGCAGAGCGTCGAGCTATCCATATCCTTTTCCTCCTCTGCAAATTGCAAGGCTGCAGATTCTTTTTTGAAGTTAGGCTCGGCGGGCTGGGAGAGGGCTGAGGAACCCCATTGCCAGCCCTGGGAATTGGGGCTCGGGCGCTGGCTTTCCTCGGCCGGCTGGCACTAAGAAACCAAGATGCGCTTTGAGGGTCTGCCAACGACGCTGCTGCGTGGCGGTGCGCTGAGTGCGAGGCTAGGGAGAACGCCGCCTCTAAGGAAAGAGAACGGGTTGCATTGGCTGCCCGGCGGAGGCTCGCTCAGCTTTGCATTCTGGGAATCCCACCCGGTCTTTAAATTGGGGCGCTAAGTTTCTAGTCCTTAGGGGTTGGAAGATTGGTTGATGGCTGCTTCTTCCAACATGGAGCCTCCGGTTTTGGGCGTGCAGGTTGGAAAAGCAACGCCTTTGAAGATTTGGCCAGAGCAGGGACGTCTGCCCCGTAGATCTGAGACTGGAATCCTTCCTGCTTCGTTTAGTTTATGATTATTATTGATCAGCCATGAGTATAAAAGCATAAGACGTTACGAAGACCGAATATTAAAACTAGGATAAGAGAGGCAAATTAAAATTAAAAAAGAAAGAAAAACGATGCAAATTGTATTTCTGTACCACCCCTACAATTTACTCCGGTCGCAGCCACGCTTGCAGACCTCCGCTGAACCGTTTGGTTCAAAGAAAGGGCCGGTATTAAAGGTCATTTCTGAATTCTGGCCGTGCATTAAACACGTTGCCTTCCTGCTTCGTCCACACGGCTCTTTCTCTCCTCCCCAGGGATCGACGACGCCGAATCCGAGTGCGGGTTGGACCAAGGCGTCCCGTTCGACTGGATCATCACCAACGATGGAGACCAGTTTTCCTTAGAGGCGCAGCTGGAGAAACTGCTCCAGTTTGTCCAGAGCAAGCTGTAGGAAAGGCTGGGCTGCCGTCTCCCCTGCTCCCCCTCCCCGGCTTTTTGGGGGGTGGGGGGGTTAGGCTGGGGTGTGGCTGAAGGACCAAAGGGATTGGAAGAGGCCGGAGTAGGCCCTTCCCATGCAGATGCCCCTGGCAAGCAAGGATCCGTTAAAATTTGCTCTAGAGTTATGAGAATTTCCTTACTCCCCTGGGAGGGGGAGTCCATTCCAAAAAGTGCCATAATCCAGTGCCGGTTTTTCTCCCCCCCCGCTTTTTTTTTTCCTTCTCCACCAGGCAGGTATCTTTGGAGGAATATTTTTCCCACCCTTGTTGGGTCTCGGTTCCCCTCCCTGCCGGTCTCCAGGTCCGGCGATGGAAGGGATAATGTTTGCCTGGCGTCCCCCCCCACCCCCCTGACCTGCCCGATTTAGAGGAGTACCCCTTTCCGCCACCAGGGGGCAGAGCGAGCCCAGCCTTTTTATCCTAGCTT